GTACAAACTCATCTCCAATGACCCTCAATTTAAGGATCTTTTTCGTAAAACTCTAGCGATTGTATGGCATCAACAACTCAAACTGGCTTCTATTCCACTCACTAAATTATTCAAGATTTATTCGATAATCTGAATTAAAGCCAGCTCTAGGTCGGTGTAGAAGGACAAATCTTCTACGCCTTGTGGTGTTAAATATCACAAGGCTTATGGGCATATTAAAAAGAGGCTTACTAGGATGGTTTGGGGTATTTAGCGAACTCTTCTCTAGGAAATGCACCAAAACATCAGATTGCAAAAATCCCTACTTCAGTTGACTGTTTTTAAACAGATGAACCGATAACAATATGTTGCAATCCAATAATCACTACCATTAAGAGTTTTGAGTATTCAATTGGCCGGGATGGTGAAGTTGAAAAAAGATAAGTCTCCTAAAGGATGTAGGTCTGGTAGTTTGGGAGGGGTTTGAGAGGGAAAATGATTGCTTGTTATTGATATCAGGCTCCAAATGGCAATCATTTCCTTAGATCAGCAAGCAAATTGACATTCATTGATGAAGTCCACTACAGGGAGGAAATTCGTCAATATAAGTGTGGATTGAAGTCATTGGAAGTGATTGTTGAGTTTAACTAGGAGTATCAGCTTGTTATTGATAATCTGCGCTTGCTCAATTTCTCAATTACCTTGACAAGAGATAAGTGTGTACTTTCCGTACTTGAATGTTGAATGCCTTAGGAATTCAAGATCATCGAACACATTGTCAAGAAAACTCAGAGATCAATAGAGGTCCAGAATTGAGCTATTCACTGCACAAATTACATTTTCCATCCCTTTCTCATCGAAGACATCACATTTCCCCTTGAAGATCAAAATCTAAAGTTTATAAAAGACAAACAAAAGAGAATGACATGTGTTATTCTTAATTAATACTACTTTAAGAATAATAAAAAAGAGCATGAAGAATGAAATATATACCTAGAGAGAGAAATACAGATGGCCTGGAAATGTGTCATAAATTGGTGGTTACATCTGCAATGTACATATACATTAGCAGTGCATTTAGTCAGTTTGATCAAAGAATTGAATCAATTACACAGTAATATGGATCGGATTTGCTATTTTTCTATAATGACAAGAGCAACAATTTTTTTTTTCTTAAATTTTAATTGAAGCGTCACATAAAACTTATCAAAATTGATCTATGACTATTCTAAAATTGTGTTATCCATTCATCTATGATTTGAAGTTAGTTTGATGAAAGAATCGAATCAATTACACAGTAATGTGGATTACATTTTTTGTTGGTTTTACAACAGCAAAAACACCTGCATTTTTTTTCTCCAAATTTGATTAAAGTGTTGGAGAAAAAATTGCAGATCATATTACTAAAGATTTTGGGTGATATTTTGATCAATAAAATGAGTGAATTTCCATCAAAATTTGTTGCTGAATTGGAGCAGCACAAACTGCGTCAAGATTAGCAATATATTTATTGACTTTTTGTTATTGACTTGAGCTGCTAAAATTTATTGCAATTTATAGACCACGTCTAGCCTATTTTAATCTGACCATCTTTGTTGAATTGATGATTATCTGATCAAGGAAATCAAACAGAAGTGATTAAAGATTCACATCACAAAATTGGCATATGAAATGACTGAATTTCTTCAGCGTTGATTTGATGAGAGATCGAACATCATACAAACCCATAATAAAAAAATACTCTTACAGCTCTCTAGAAGTTGAAAGTTCTAGATTATACGAAGCAGATTTAACATGATGAATGTTTTAAGAGCCAAGGTGGTATAACTCCATTGACTGACATAATCCACTATGCTTACCTACTGCGTTTCTACCTAAAAAACAGAACTTTCTCACTCCTGACTAGCAGCCACTAAAGCCAAAGGATCCAAACAACTGCCTTTTACATGACCTCCTTTTTTGAGCAAAATATGATCTTTTAATGGTACACCTTTTGAGTGTTACAGAGAATAAGGTTTAGATAGAAATACGAAGGGCCCTATACAATGTAAGCAAGCAATTCATAATAGAAAAAACTCAAATAATATATTACTCAGGAAACTCACTAATACATAAGAAACTTACTGGTTCATATAGACCTCACTCTATTGGGTTTATGTGGCCTTTAAAGGCCTTATGAGTGCTTGTAAAATGAAATGATATAGTGGAACATGAACTCAGTGGGAGTGTGGTCCCTTGTGGACCATACTAAGCAAACGATGTTTGCAGATACCGGACTGTGCTTGACAATCTAGGCCAATCGGTTGGGAAAAACCCATGTTACCTGGGCATAAAAAACAAACCGAGAAGGGTTCTAATAGGTTAACCCTTGATGAGGTCGGAGAATATACCCTGATGAGTGAGCCGAGGGACTGTGTGACCCTTGTGTGTGATGGTGCCCTACAGAAACAGGGGCTAAAACCTCATCCATATACCATCACACGGCATGCATATCGATATATCGTTCGAGAAAGCCAAAAATCTACCTTTTAGGGGGAAGTGTATGCATGTGCGAGAGATACCCCTATGCACTATAGAGATGTGGTTGCATAAGGTCTTGGTGAACTTGACTTGTCTCTAAGGGAGGACCTGAAATCTACAGACTGGGATTGCGATCCCTTGGCTCATCGATCGGACTTTGGTGACTCGCTAATGAGCCCCTACTTGGACTGTGGGTCATGGGAAATGCTGGGTCGGTCTGATAAAGCAAGTGTGGTCTGTAGTCCACAGTTGAAGGTGAAG